TTAATTCTCCCTGAACCATGGTCTGTTAAGCGTGCCTCGGAGAGACAAGTGACTTCAAACTCGCCCTCCTAGTTATATTGAGTAAAATTTCCGCAATGGCTATCGCATTCCTTTTCACGTTGCCGCACCTTCTCCCTTTTCCTACGGCGTTTCGAAGTGGCCTCCTTTCTTCGATCTGACTGTGTATTCTATACTATGACTTTGCCTTTTCCACCTTGATTTTGTCGGCAAATTCGACCTGGTGTCTATTCACTACCCGTCACCCATGTTATGAAACGAGAAAAGGCAGTTGATAATTAGTCGCCAAGTTTTTCATGCACGTAAATTCGATTCTTTATGCCTGTCAAGAATATCACGGATTGTCGATTGCCTTTCCGCTTATAGAGACTGACGGTGGTAACCGTCTTGAAGTTGTAAAATATATTCTCAATTCAAACCGTCTGAAGCAGATGATCCAGTTATTTAGATTATCATTATCAAACACGCCTTTATGTCTGTTAATCGCTTTTATGCCGTAGACTTGGCAACCTGACTGTAACCGAAGTGTCTTGATCGTTCCCGTAATTCTGCCTAATACATAGATTTGCATTTATTTCGATTGACTTCCTCCTCGCAGAATCGAGGGTTAACTACTAGAGATGTACTTAAAGTATCCAACCTTGCCATCTAAGCTATGCGATTTCTCCGCCAGAAGAGCTATTTTTTGGTGCATTTGACTGTGACTCGCAGACGTCTTGATGGTCGCCAACAAATCCTTTCCTTTTGCTCCCCATATTCCTGCATTCTTCTCAGCATCTTCAAGTGCCTTGTACAATTGTCTACGAAGAGTTGTGAATGAGATTTTTAAATTGGAATCTGTATTGCTCTCGTAGGTCCTGTTTTCGGTTTCTTTCGGAAAGTAGACATCCTATCTCGTCAGTTTGGTCAAACGAGCACTGTTGACGAATTGGAGCCAGAGTGTCCATACTCCGAAGATGGATAGACGAGACATTTACTCGAAACGCCAGGCTTATAATAAACCTCCCCCGGTGAACGCTCCTATTTTCCTTATTTACGATCTGGGAATCACATTTTTAACACTAGAATTGGATTTGGTTCAAGGTCCTCTCTGGTTGTATGTATCACTTTTTGCAGAGTACTCCAGTTGGTTTTAACTATCCTCCTTGTCTTATACATGCATTTTCGTTTCCAGTACGAGAGTCAGTTTTTGTCCGGTGCTGACCTTTTTTTAAAAGAGTTACATCAAGATTATCTGGGGGGATTTCCCTTAGAGCATCCACAGTTTCAACTTGAAAATCAGCAGGCGACGGCCAGTCCAGATTTATGCAACGCTCCTCGCACGATCCAGCGATTTGTTCTAAAGATTATGCAGTTTTCTTGTTGCTAATTGTGCCAGTATTTGTCTTGTAGTTAGAGAAGCGAAAGGCGGTTTGTTGTGAGAAGATTGTTTTCCTCGCATATTTCCGATGCAGTTTAGCTGCTCCCGAATGAATGAAAAGGTTCGCGTTCCAGATATCTGCAAAGACAAGGAAGAAGACGTGTCGAGCACCGGATAAATTTGTTTATTGTCCCGAGCTTTCGTACTCTTACAGGAGTCCATCTTCAGAGATGAGAAGTAGCTGCCGTTATTAAATTAACGACCAAATACTTCTCTCCACTTGATGTGATTTGTGTCAATTCGTACGGTAAAATTTCTGAGAGTAAGAAACATATCTGTCCACGGCACAAATGCGGTTTTTACGGATCTCACCCCATCACCCCAGTTCGTCATTGTTGGATCATGGGAGCCAACGAGCCTTATGAGTCTGTCTTCTATTCCAGGCAATTGCAGCAACAATTTCTCGCGAAAGGTGACTTCAGCACCATCTTCTTGTGATGTCTTATCTGGAAAAAAATTATGCACTATCTGCTGTTTTACTGTCAATAGTTGTTGTCCACTAAGGACTACAATCTGCACCTTCAACCGCACTATTGCTATCAGATTCTAGTTTTTCTTGAATTGTTTTAATCTGAAACTTCTCGATTCAGCCGACCACATTTTGCCAACTACATCGAACATCAATGTGTTTTATCATGTTTTTTTGCCGCTACTAATAAAATATACCACAAGTCACTATGCGACTGCCTGCGAAAGCTCTAAAGGGAGCTACAAGGCACAAAGAGACATACATGTTCCGTAACCAGATCGATGAGCCTAATGCTGTCAGCATAAGATCTGCCTACAGTCTTCTTTTTCCAGCTGAATTTCTTTAAACTTGTTTTTCAGAACGAGGTACCTTCCATCGCCCCAGTCATCCCGTCTCTTAATACTGGCCTTTTGGAATTCAAGGTCCATGCATGCCCGAACATCCTGAAGAGAGGTACATCCCAAAGCTTTTATAACGAATTAACTGGTTTTAGACATTGGCCCATTCTTTCCTGACAGAGATTTTTCGCGAATACATCTCACCGTCATTACACTTTCGCGTCGAAATCAGCTTGACGCCTCCGAGCTTCTTGACAGCGAGAATTTTGTGGACCATGTGAGTTTGTGGTTGTTTCTCATCCTCATTGGTTATGTCTAGTTTGTAGAGGCAGCTATACACATCTGTAGTTCTCTGAAGGAAATGGGTTACTGGGCTGACTTCATCAACCCCAGCACTGGCAAACCGGTAAGTCTTTTTTGCCCCCCGATTTCTGCCCACTTTAAAGCGGTGCGTAATCCCTCATTTAATCTCTCCTTTGATTATTCCTTTCCCGATAGAGCTGCACAGAAAATCTTTTCCTCAGAGATCTAGGCCGAATGCCAAACATTATTTTTCCTTTGCACTTGAATACTGGATCTGTTGATCGTGTTATCTATCCCAGCTGTGTCGCGCTCTAAAAAGCCTAGGTTCCCCTCTTTTGGCAGGCCAATTATATCCAGTTGGTGTGCTGGTCAGCCTAGCTGTTGATTTTTGAACGTTCCTCGTCGCTTGTTTCATTTGCTCTGTGCTGATGTCATCGATCCGGTCTTCGGAGAGGAAATTAACTCAAAGTCTGACTCGATTCACTTCGTCAAGACATGAAAGTTGTTCTTGAACCTTCGGTATTCGGTCTCCCTCGTCGCGAATGTGTCAAGTTCCCTTAGTTAGCTGTCCTGGATCCTTACTCGCAGTGGTCCATTTGCATGGTCCCCCC